ATCAAAAATATCAGTTGTAGAGATAACTGTATGAGATAAAGCTTCGTTTATATAAAAGATTTTAGTTTTACTTTGCAAACACACAATTTAGAGAAAAAAGAAAAAAATATTAATATTTTGATGCTACTTCATCTTTTCGATTAAGAAAGTATTTCCGCAAGGTTTTATGTAATATTCCCCCCTTTATTGCTTCAAATGAGAAATTTCTTTGGCAATGAGTCTTCTTTTCTTCGGGCATTTATAGTCTTCTTAAAACATTATTGGGAACTACAAAACTAGCCTTCTCCCCCTTTAAATTGATTTTTGCAAAATATTTATTTTGCAAAGAGGCACAACCTTTTCTGAACAGATGAATAAGATTTCCTTTTTTATCAGCTGAACATTGATTAATTTAAAATTGGTTTTTCTGTGTAAGCTACTTCGGAAACAATGCTTTTATGCTGCAGAGCCTATGTAGAAAAAAGAAAGAAAAACTATGATTCCTCTCTTCCCGTTATTAAAAAAGAGATTTAAATGAAAAGTCTCATAAATTATATATATGGTCCCTTTAAATGAAATGTCCTGTCTATGAAATGTCCTATCTATGATATGTCATATCTATGAAATGTCCTATCTAAAAAATGTCCTATCTATAAAATGTCTTTCTATGAAACGACCCAACACCCCTTTAAATCATGGTTTAATACAAATTTATTAAATCTTGTGAAAATATAGTAACTGTTCAGTATTTTGTTGAAAGGTTATTTTAATTTTGAATTTAATTAACATTTTCACTTTATAATTATAAAAATTGTTTTCACCAAAATGGAAGAATTAATAAATCACCTCAACTAATTAATATTCATGAAAATTAAAACATCCTGAATGATCAACTATGATCTATGCGCAACTGATGGTAATGTTTCTAGACAAAATTTAACTGAACAAAACAAAAACAAGTTTGGAGTTGTCTGGGATGTGGTAAATTCAAATATATATATGCAAGTTTATCTATATACTTTTTATATCTATATCCAATAAATGTTAAAAAGGCTGAACCAATCGGGGCCAATTTTTTTTATGGCAACTCATATGACCCAGAGAAAGTTGACCATCAAGTTGAAATATTTTTCACGGAAAAAAATGTTGACATTAGTTTTTTTTGATAATGCACCAATTCAAACAGAAATATCCACTAAATTTTTTAATGAATAAAAATGAAAAAGAAATGGCAACAATATTTAGAATGTACTTTGCAGTTAAATACCAGCTTCCCAGTTTAATACCAGCTTCTCAGTTTATTTCAAACTAAGATAGCAGTAACAAAATAGTAGTCAACAATAAACATTCAAATCATAGAATTGGCGTGTCAACAATAAAACTGGTTTCTTCAGCATCTAGGATGTAAACATGTTATTTAATATTCTCCGGAATATTTGTTGAGTATTATCCACAAGACAAAATTGTCGTTTGGTGCCAACATATTTTACAAATAACTGTTCCAGGGGGAAATATTTCCTGACAAATAATTACCCCCCTCCCAAAAAAAATAGTTATATATAAAAATGCAAATGGGGATTTTTTGTTTGGGGGGAGGGGGTCATTTTTAAAAAATCTGATGTCAGTTTCTTCTCTCTAGATTTAAAAATTTGAGCTAGTGACCCTCACCCTTTTATTTGATGAAAATATATATTCCCTATAACTATCAGGGGAATATGGTGAGCGTATGCCAAGAAATACTAGTTGGTTTTAACCAGAACATATTATCAACAGAAATTCTAAAATTCTAAAAAAATATATTTTAGGCTTAAGTTCCATAAACTTTATGGGAATCAAGTGTCCGGTAATTTATAAGCGCAAAAATAAATACAATACCTGGATTCAACAAAATCAGTAAAAAGATAAAAAATAACTTGGCTTTAGAAAAAATCCAATAGTGACGAGACCCTTTGAAAAAAATGAAGAATGTTTATCTTTAATCTAGAAATTTCATTTGCTTGGTCTGTTAAAACGTTAAATGTTGAAACAGCTGAACTGAATAGGCACAAAATTTTTGCACCTCAGAATAGGTTGGACCTCAGGGAAGGTTAAAAAATGTAGCTAAAATCCTTTCACGAACAAAAACAAGAAAATATTCTATGCTTGAAACATTTTAGAAAGGACCTAGGATGCTTAGTTTATTTTTAACAATATTTACAAGTTATCTGAGGGCGGATCTTTGGATCAGGATCAGGATCAGGATCAGGATCAGGATCAATGCTCAATCTAGATATTAACGACACAAAAGTACTAAATTCAGAGTGTAAAAGCAAAAATAAAAAAATTCTAGACAGTAACCTTTTTTATCATATTATTACAAATCAACATCCAAATTACCAAGTCCTTTATGTTAAACCATGAACTCGAAATTTGTATTATCCTTCTTGAAGAATATTTTTAAAGAGAACTGTCAAACTTCTGATTTGTTGAAAATTGTTGAATCAAAATCTGTCAAATTTTGTTCTTGCCCAGAATTGAACAGGGGGATCAACAAGGGTGGGGGAGGGTCTCATTTCCCCCTTTAAAAATTCAACAAAACAAAGATGGGGTATTACCCCCCTTCAATTATTGGCGAAGGGGGGGGGGAGGTTGCAGTACATGCCTTTTTACTCTGCCTTATATATGCTCGGGGTTTTTTTCTTCTCATATGCCAAGCTATCACAGTCTTTATTTTAATGATTTGTTACAATTGTGAGATGTGAGATGTGAGATGTGTACAGTTTGGAAAAAGTGGGATATGAGCTTGTGCATGCAAAAATGTATCACTGCGGTAAAGATGGTCTTGCTGAAAAGTTTTAGTCTTCTGACTCAAAACTTATTATTAGTTCAAAGCTAACATTTCTTGTTTTAATATTTAGTATTATTCATTTTCAATAAATATATGGTGAAGTTTTGTTCTACTTGGCTAGGACTAAGAGATGTATATTGAATAAGCTTTAAAAGGAAAACTTTGCAGATTTGGCCCAATTTTATCACTCAAGTGTTAGAAATCGCCCTATGGAACTAACGTCCCCTGCATTATTAGGATATTTTATTATTATCAATCAACTTCGAATTACCAAGTACATTTTTCTAAATTTGAGGGGTTGAGGAAATAAAACCCCATGTGTTCAGTGCAATTCTTATTTTGTCTGAATATTAACTTTTATCCTGCAATGTCTGAAGAATGAGCCTAGTCATATCAATATCAATACAGATCTGCTGGCCTAGCATTTTTTACACAAGTTGGACAAGCTCCAATCCAGCAGTTTGGACAAAACTTATCAGACCGCAGCTAATTTCCCTGACACAGTTTTAAAATTGTTATTCCAAAAAATAAAAATAAACTTATCTAAAAATTTTTATCTGCCATAAAAATAAATTTCTTTTAGCAAGAAAAAAAACTTAATCTTAATTCCTGTTGAAGGAATCTGTATCCATAAAATGACGACTGCTTGAAATAAAAAAAAACATTGACACTTCTTATATTATCTGTGATGAGAATATTACTATTGGCATACTTTACATGCCAAGCTGTAATGTGTATCTTTTACAGCTAAACGGGTAATAAAGATAGAACAATCTTCTTTCCATTAAGACCATCCATAAAACTGTGTTTTTGATTCTAGTTAAAGGGATTGTAGATGTAATTTATAGTGACCCATCATATAAAGAATGACATGTCCCAAATTCAAATTGTATCTTGGATAGTATTTGTCGCAGATTTTATAGACTAAGTCGTCACAAAATTAAGTCTTACATCTACTCTAGCTGAAGCCTTGCACTGTCCAGTCCCTTTCTAAGTCCAGAATTTCCCAATTTTCCACACATAAACTTAATATCATAAATTTTCATCTTGCATCCGTTCCGCTTTGTCCTACTCAAAGGGACTATTAACAAAATTACAAAAGACCCTTCAACTATTGAGTTACAATTCCGATTCACAACACAAACCCCTTAATACTTCAGCTGAGTAAAATAAGAAAGAAGTTGTCTTTTAATTATGTAAAAAACAAATCGATTCTGTCAATTTCCTTCCTTGGCTATGCCGCAACATCCGCAATTAACTGAAACAAGAAACCGAAGTTGAATAATCATTTTTCCTTTAGCAAAACTAGCTCAGCAAAATTCTCGTTATGCAGCCTTTCAAATGAAGAATTCCTTAAAATTGTCGTCAGTCCCTTTAACTCCTACATTTAGTGATATCTTATACAGTCCCTTTAACTCCTACATTTAGTGATATCTTACACAGTCCGTTTTACTNAGTATAACCTTACTCATATTTATGACGGATCTCAATTTCCCCCCAGGGAATTCAAATTTATCAAGCTTCCATCCTAACTTTAATCTATTTTATATTCATTTTTATCTTCCAACACTTTGTCATGAATACAGAGGTTATTCATTAATTTACCAACATTGATTTGTATCGCACTCCGAAAACTGAAACAAACCTCGGATTTTTATGAATTAGATAATTTTTTTTTCTTCACAAATACATATTTTATTTCCCCCTCTTACTTCCTAACAAAAATACAACAAGTCTACTACACACTTAATTACACTTAGCAATTACATTAAAGTTTTTAAAAGCAAAAAAATATTTAACACTTTTTTAATACAAAGAGATTATAAATTCAATGAATTTAACACTACCCCTAAAATCTTAACTCAGTAGATGACCGTTTTAACTCATAGATTAAATATTTTTTTAATAGAAATCATTTGATAGCAGACAAGGAAGTATGCTGAAATTTGTCTAGGGTGCTTAACTGCTTAACCCCCTCGCCATTGGAAGCTGAATACTCTCTTATTTAATACAGGAGGGCTTANAAACAAAAAGAACATGTTCACAATTTAAATAGAAGATGGGCGCGAAGCGCCCTAAAAGCCTAGTTATATATAAAGCAAAATAAGCAAAAAATTGGCCCAGATATGTCCTATTCAAGTGGTAAATTAATTTATCTACGTCATTAATTTATCTTAGAGGTTCATAAAAATACCTGCGCTTCTTATTTGTTACTGCTCCAAAACTCAAACTAGAATAAAAAACACTTTTTAAAAAATTTAAAAAAAGTTTTTCAGAGTCTAAAATACAGTTCAGAAATTACATTATGGCCAAAATCGCCTAAATTCTCAATTTTTTGTAGTTTACATTTAGACCCCCCTGGGGCCACCATCCCAAATTACGTAAGTTCAAGTGAACCTCAAATTGTTGAATGTGATCTTCAATTGTTCCAATTAAACCTCTCAATTGTCTGGTAAAACGATGATTTTTTGTCTAGCTAAATGACTAGTGTACAGTGTACACTGTACAGTGCAGACTGTACACTGTACAGTGCACACTGTACACACAGTCTCTATAAAAGTGAATTGAACATTTCTACTGCAGAAAAACATGTAGAAATTAGCATAATTAAACACTTTTAATCTTCCATATTATTAGTCAGATAATGGTTTCGAGGGTAATGGTTGTGAATTGTGCCTTCTTTGCATATGGGTCACTAGAAATTTTAAGTTTGAAAATCATTTCCGGAACTATGTATGTAATGGATCCAAATGACAAAATATCAAATAATCAAAACATAGAAAGAAAAAGACATTTTTTACTCTCAGTACACATTTGTCCCGTTATAAGAGATCATTAATTGGAAAATAAGAATTAACAAAAAAAATTTTAAAAAATTTAACTGGTTAGAGAAAATAACTTGAATTTCTTAACCCCTCCAGCATGTGATTGATTGATTACCTGGATCCTGTTTCAATATTTGACTTGATGAAGACGTTCCTCTTCTCTGCTCTAAATATTAATAACCATTAAATTTTTAATTTTGTGAAGTCCTAATTGTAATATCAACCCAAATCTGGGGAAATTTTATTTATCACAAATCTAAGGTATGAGAAAGCAAGTGCATAATAATGATGATTTAAAACTATTATAAAGATAAGTTTCCAAAACCAATTTGGTCTGTAAAACATCCGTTGGTCAACAGAATCCAAGTTTAAGTAAAAAAAATCTGGGAAAGGAACTGAATACTTGCCTCAGATCTTTGCACCCTGATATAGTAAACCATTGATATTTCAAACAAAGAATCTGCTACGTCAATTGGTTAAAAGTATGAAATATCGAAGGTTTACACCACCACCAGGTTGCATTGAGCTAAAATTGAGCTGTGTTCTTTCCCCTTGTAGCATTTTGAAATAAAGATTTGCGATTTTTTTAATAAAAACTATAATTTACAAAATTTCCCCAAGGGTGGATAAATATTAACCTAGTAACTTGGAGAAAGCATTGATAGGTAACGTTTGCCAAAAGGCAGGAAAATAACTATAGTTTTTTCAAGTAAATGCAATATATAAAATTCTAAAAAGGAATCTTTTTTAAAAATAAAAAAGTTAAAAGCAATCCACAATCTACATATCTAATAAATTACCCATGGGACGAATTCCTAATATTATTATTTCCTTCTAACAACGCCATTATGTTCTGAAATATAAATATAGATTTAATATTTTAGGATTTTACAAAAGAGTTTTCGATTTTAGCTCAAAATAAATAGAAATATGTATGATCAGAGCGGAGATATTAAAGTTACAAATAAAAAACCCCAATTGGGGGTTCTAAAAGAAAAGCAAAGGAAAAAATCATTCCGGGTTATTTAAAAACTTTTCCCGTATCAAACAAGTTTATGCAGTTTTCTACTCCCATTTGTCTCAACTTAGATCTACTAATAAAAGATGAGAGCTGAGCTACTTTAAACCACATCCATGGAAAAATGGATGAATAATAGACGATTTTTCTCAATTGGGAGTTATGCAATACACGACTTCTAGCAGTAGGTGGGCTCTGAACCCTATGTAAAAAATTTTTTCCATCAAAATAGAATCTATTGTTTGTTGAATCAAATTATTTTAGGCAATTATTTGTTAAAATTTATTAAATATTTACGAACTAATTATTCATCAATTAAAAAACAACTAGAGTTTTTTTTTATTTTTTTTACCAAAGAAAATGAGATTACTTGTAATCGCATCAATCTCATTTTTAGTCAAAAAATAAGGTTGATCATCTTTTAGATTTTTATTCACGTGATTTTGGGATAAATAGTATAATAATGAAGAGTACCATCTGTTATCAGAGAAAAACAATATTACCAATATATCAGATTATTCAACCTTTTCCCAGGGATATATGTTAACCAAGATTTGGAAATATCAATTCATACAAATTTTTTAAGTTAGGGCTTATATTTTTCCCCAGATTAGTTTGGTTCAGTGAAGGCCTATGGAACATTTACTGAGACTGTTATTAATGATGAAGCATTCAAATCTTTTGGAAATTAAGGTTTTAGAACCTTTCTTAACAGAATAAGCAATACATAAATATACCCCCTAGTTGCTGTTCAGTTTGCAGAGCTAGATGTGATCCTGAAAAATGGAAATTGAATTTGGTAAGTCAATCACTTACTACTTCTGCTAAAGAAAATATTTAAATCAAAAATACAAGGCAAGATTCTTCTTACATCCTATGAAATCATGTTTTTTCTTCATCATCTTACTCTAATTCCAAGAATGTATTTTAACACTAGTTAAACAAAGATAAAAATGAAATGAATTTTTAAACCTCCTTTGTTTACAATATAAACTACAGCCCTATGATAAATATGAGTACTGGACCCAGCTGTGTTTATTGTGCATATTGCGTCCAAGAAACTGACCATAAAAAGATATTGTATTTTTATTATTAATATTAAGGGCATTTTTTCCACACCCGCTAAACTTTTATTCATAACTGATGGTAATGAGATGGTTTACTTAATTATTTCATAAATTCTTAAAGGTGCAATAAATCTACTTTTAAAAAAGAGTGACTTAGATTAAAGCTGAAGGGCCCGGTTGTAAAAAGCGCACAACAATTTTTAAAACATAAATCACTAAAATATTTTATGATTAAATGGACTTTTTTAAATGATCAGACAAACTTGAAGACAATTTCAACCCCATTTTACCATATATAAGGTTTTTTTAAAACCTTGTTTTTTAGAAATGATGTGCATAATATATAAGACAGGTCATTAATCAAAATGAATTTAATCCTTGCTTGTATAAGAAATTACTAAATGTTTGAAAATGTCAATTATATGTTTTAAATAAACAAATATAGAAATGTATCTTGCGAGAATTTATAGAGACAAATTTGTGGAAGTATATAACAAACTACAGAATCCTACTCAGTATCTGTTGTACAAATTTATAATTTGATTTGGTTCATCTGTCTTCCAAAAGTTTACCAGACTTACAAACACACACTCAAGCAAATAACTTTAAGGGTTGTGAAATCAATTTACATGACCTTTGGTTTAGAAAGGTCCTTCTGACAAACTTAAAAGTATAAGGAATTGATACAGGAAAAAATCAATTAAACTTTAAATAACAAATGAAAATGGCCTAAGCATTCTTTTTATCTGTTCTTATTAAATTTTTATCTATTTTTTTTTATTGGTTTCAGATATTTAATGGAAGAGGGTGGTTGGAGTGTAAAAATATATTAATCTGTTGGTATGTACTATGATGTCTCTGTGATCTGAATGTATGATACAAAGAAATTCTAAAAATTATTAAAATATCGATATTTCTGGGTTTAAATGTTGAAAACCGCCTATTTCATGAAGTGATTGATCAGGAAAGCACGACAAGCGTATGCACAGTAACACACACACTGAACATTTGAAAGGAATTATATGTAGAATTCTTCAATTTTTAATTTTTACATTATTTTAAGATTGTATAGGAAGATAATATTAAACAGAGACAACTTCAACTAACCGAATCCATTCCTTTTCTAGAAAATCTGACTTACCAAATTTCTTCTTGAGAATAACCGTTATATATGAATTAAAAGTATAAAAGTAGAACTCCTTCGCAAGAGCCCCCCACCCCCCCTGCAGTCATTAAACTAAGTTTTCAACAAAATTTAATCCAGGAAAATGAATTCTTAAAATATGTGTACTTCCAAGAAATTCAAAGTGTAGCATTAAATAATTTTTTTTTATTTAAAATCTTATCTTTGTATTACATCCTTACAACATGCAAGTTATCAGTGTAATTCTAATTTTTGTTTGTGCGCTTTACAATCCAGTTTGTACTGCCACAGAATTTTTTCTGCCTGTTTGTTTATCAACCCTAGTACATAAAGGACTTCACCTCCCTGATCCTTCTGCAGACCTGCATCTCTCTTGAATGAGGTAAATATATACCCCTAAAAGTAGGTTAAACAATATTTCTACAGTAGTGAAATAGAAGAATGGAAAATTCTGAAGATTAAACAAGAAAATTTATATTTATCTGAAATTAAATGAGGCATTAAGCCAGGGGAATTTCAACATTTAGAGTTAATAAATGTATTGCAAGGTTCAAAACCTTAGTAATATATACACTGATACAGGGGTGTATGGGATAATTTACTTAACAGATATTCACAAAATAGTAAAACCTCAACATTTCTTTCTTAGGAACATGATTTCAATTCAAACAATTGAATAATAATGAGAAACAAAAGAAGTTTAAAATAAGCTGTTCAAAAAAAGGTTTATAAATATTTAGGAGAAACAACAAAAAAACACCAATATTTCAAGAAAAAAAGATGCAAGATAAAAACTTCGTAAATATTTCCCACTTAAATCTTCAACTTGGTGTACTGAAAGAAGGAGTTAAACCCCTGATGGGTAAACAAGCCATCCACAACGATAACGGTTTTTTACTCGACCAGCTGTGAGGACCAGACTACAATGGAGGGCTCCCCATTTTGAATAAGGGGTGCAGTTATGGGTTTCCTTAATCCCCCTTAACTCGGAAAGAGTATAATAAAGAAGGAACACAGGGAGCAATCCCCTATATCCTTCCCTCTACAAACCTCCTTGTCTCTCTCCTACCTGCTCCACAACTTGATGTCAAAAGAACTATTTGGAAAGGCCTTTAAGTGTAAAAACAATGCAATGGAAGATTCCTCTCAAGAGAGCTTCAGGGCTTACAACTCCACATTTTGAATAAGAGGTGCAGTTATGGGTTTCCTTAATCCCCCTTAACTCGGAAATAAGGAACACAGGGAGCAATCCCCTATACCCTTCCTCCTACAAACCTCCTTATCTCTCTCCTACCTGCTCCACAACTTGCTGTCAAAAGAATTATTTGGAAAAGCCTTAAAGTGTAAAAACGAGATAAACATGAAAAAAGAAGAAAATATTGAACAGAAAAATTAGAAGGGGTGTTTTTAAGCTTCACACTATCTTTTTAACCAATAGCAAATGAAGACAAAGACGAGATGGGAAATGTTACCACCCAAAGTTAAATGATCTTAAAAGTGTGTAGAAGCTGACACAAGAAAAACATGTGCAAGTAATACAATGGGAGAGGAAAAGGTAGTGACTTGCTCATTCACCCCCCCCTCCCCGGTGCCCCCCCCAAGAAGCTCCAAGAAAAGAAAGCCAGTCAGCTAGTTCAAATAAATACAGGGTTAGGAAAGAGGCAAGATCTTTTTAAAAATAGTTTGTTCTTGAAAAGTGGCTAATTACAAGGATAATTACAAGGATATCCTTCATGTTCAAAATTAGCTGATATATGATTGAAAGATGTATGAAAGATGTAGGGACAAAAAGAAAATGAAGAACAAGAAATATAGAAATCTCAAAATATTTTCATTTGATATCATATAAATATTTAAAAATATTGAAAAATTTAATTAAAATGAATTATTAAGGTTAAAAATTTCCCACTTAAACTTCTCTGCAAAACAAAAATCCAATTTTCAAAGAGAAAAATTTTAAAATGTGTTCAAATTTGTATAGGTATTTTAAAATGAGTTATTGGATTGCAAAAAACTGGATTTTCAAAGTTTATTTTCCTTGATGGTTTTAAAAATCCAGCAATTATTTCAGAGTTAGTGCTGAACATGTTAGTACTTATTTTGATCCAACCATTAGTTAGCTGATTCCTGTAATAATGTAAAAAGAGGGCCATCAAGTAACTATCAGTTTTTTACTAATAACTTGACAGTTTTATCAGTACCAGAATTTTATATAATTTTCAGGTACTTGCATATGTTAGGTAACTAACTTTACCAATCCTTCTTCCATCTAATTGATAGTTTTTGTCTAAAACTTGCAATTTTATTTGAAGTAAAGCAGGGTAAAAGATTAAAAAAGAAATTTTTTGTTAGATATTTAAATCCATTGGTACTAATAAAAGTCAAGTTTGTTACCAGAATTTCTATTTTTAAACCTTTAATTTCTTAATGTAATTTTGCCAAGCTGGCATGGGATTGGGGTACAATTCAATATTTTAAAGCAAAATAAACAGAGGAATTTAATGTGAGCAAGAGACTTTTTGTTAACTTTATAAATCATATTTCCATGTTTTTGAAAAATAAATACCCCCAATATACTTCCTGTCAGTTTACTGTTAGATGAAATTTAAACATTTCTATTTAATCCAGTAATTAATGCAGTAGAAAACAGACTTCTGAATATTCATACAGACACAAATCCCAGAGGTATCAGAACCAGGGGTAATTATTTTACCAGAATTAAAGAGATTTCTGGAGAAATTGAAAATAATGTCTACTTTATGCAAGAATTAATGAAGAAAAAACTGGCAATTTAAAAAAAAATCACTTCCTAGTCTTATCTCTACCCACATCTTTATGAAATAAACAAGATTGTGTAATTATCATATTCTATCTTTTTAACCTAGCCTATCCTTTAAAAGTAGGTATCATTTACTCATGGAGGGGTGGGGGGGTAAAGTTAATTCCCCCCCCCCCCTCCATGAAACAACCGGGAAACAAATAACAAGTAGTTTTAGAACATTTGAGAATGTAAAAACTAATAAAAATGAAAAAATTTTCAAAGTTTTCTAGTGTTCGTTTTTTCATACCCTTAATCGAGTAATCAACAATTTGAACCACATTAGTTTCAACTTTAAGAATTTAATCAATGTATACCAAGAAAAAAGGAAACAATTATTCATTTCAAAGAGAGAACTTTATAGCAATTCATGTTCTTAATTTTAACTTTTATGGTTATGTTGCAAGGATATTATTCTAATCTAAAGGGACTGTTCACAGTTTCCTCTGATAGAATCCAAAGAACGCATTAGTCCCTTTGTAATAAAACCAGTTGTTAAATTTTTTTTTCAGAAGAATAATTCCTTTTTAATCCAGTTTTCTATGATAGTACCAAAAAAATCACTTTGTTTGGAAATAATGCTCAATATTTTATAAGACCAAGAAGAAAACTGACAAATTTCTAATACATTTCACCTGTAAAAGATGGCGCAGCTAGTCAATTCCTGAAGGGAAGATAGAAGAACATTAAAACATAAAAATCCACAAAAAAGTATCAATATGGTAAGATAGGTGAATCAGTTTTGTATATATTGAAATCTAACCAAACCAAAACCACACAAATCCAAAATAGATTTTTAAAGGAAAATCTTGGTCGGTATAAAACTGTAAGATGCTATGTCATCTGTCCTACAAATCAATAATCATCTATATCCTAACGTCCAATTCCTAGTCTAATATACTTAATTTGACCTACACCATATAACAATTTACATATTGTTTGTAGAACAAATACAAGATTCATTAACCTCAGCCTAAGCTAAGGCGTTTGGAAAGCACAAACAACCTAAAATCAACTAAATTGATTTGGGAAAAATCGTGAAAATCCGCGAAATTGATCAAAATAAAACCCCTTTTACCGTACCATGGATTAACAATGTAGGAAAATTGTTGTTTAGGTTCAGCATATTGTAGAACAATTAACCAGTAGGTCATAAAACACATGACATAGCACCCCTTTGTCACTAGCTACACACTTTATGACAACTAACAAAATTATTTAGTTATACTGACGGATTTAATAAAGGAAAATAAATATGTGACGTATATTCTCAAAATATAACCATTTGGAAATTGTTCATAAAATCTAATTTTTTCCCCACTCCCAAGTAAAAAGGGTTTATACTTTTGCTCATTAAATTTAGCTTTGGAAAATATAAACTGTGGCCGAATTTAAAGAATTTGAGCGGCGATTTAAATTTAAGCCGCCGCTTAAATATGGTTGGTTCCACTTAAAATTGTACCAAATGTTTCAAGATTTAAGCCGGCGCTTAATTTAAACCGGGTTTTGGCGGTTTTTTGCGGATTTAAACCGCGGCTCAAATTCTTTAAATTCCATCTCAGGTCATTTTTTTTAACAAAGAAACCATGGACCTAATTTAAGGAATTTGAACTGCCTACCACCGCCAGTTCACTGAATCACCTTTCAAATTTGAACCAGCAGAGCGAAGTAGCTCAAGTACATTAAATTCCGTCCCAGGATCAGAATGAAATGAAATCCAGGCCAAAAGTGTTCCTATTTAAGTCCATCATATATCACAAATGCATAAAATCAAGAGGGTGAATAAATATGCAACACAAAATAAAAAATGTATGAACTAGTTTTAACTGGTAATAAGTAATATGAAGAAAAAAGTTGCTATTTTTTACATCTGAGCTTGTAAAAAATTAAATTTTTGAGATTAATTTGGTCGCATGTTTATCAATCCTCCTCGAATATTGCAAACCACGTCTAAAAGAAATACTTGTACAAAATCTCATGTATCAAAGATTATCATTATAAAACTGGCAGGGATTTATTATTTTAAAAAAAACCTACCAACTCTGCCTCCCAAAAATTGAGACAGGGATTTCTAAGCTCTTGAAAAAATGGGAATTAAATTTACGTAATTTAAATTTGTAGCTTATTTTCCCTTTCATTTTAAGTAAAGATTTAAAATAAAGTGAAATTTGAAAACACCGCAAGTTAAAAAATATGATTTTGAGGGCAGCGGGATAGTATTGTTTAGGAAAATGAAATCCCTGATCTAATTGCATAAAATTAGTTTTCATTTAAGTAAGTGTGGCATATCAAGTTAAAAAATCAGCAAATGCTAGAATAAAGATTAAAGAAACGTGAAAAGGCACCAAAATATTAAGTCCTAAAAACATATTTGAGAACCTGCAAATTGTGACACTAAAAAGCTCTAAAAGATCAAATCATGAAATAGAAAATTCTGTTGTAGTATAAAATATAAATGCTTTTTTTGAGAATTTGAGTCGACGGCAAGTTTGCAAGTTTTAAAAGAAGTACGTAATTTCAAGCGAGAGTTGCATGCCAGAATTGTTACTTTTTAAATAAGACACGTAATCGTTGTTTTTATATTGTAGAATGGTTTAATTCTTACAATTTCGTTCTTTGTCTCTGCTGCATAAATCTGTAAGTGTTTGGAATAAAAAATGAAGAACCACAAAAGAAAAAAAAATTCTTGCTCAGACTATAATGATAAGCATTTAATGGTTTTAAATCAGTCATGATCATTTCAAACGAAGGATCACTTGAAATTAGGTTGAGAGTCCCTTTAACGGTGAAGTTTCAAACCTTTAAGTAGATTATCAAACTCAAATAAAAATTTTTCGTCATTAAAACCTTTACCGTCCATGGAGGAATAAAAAGTTGAGGCTATACCGTACCATCGTGTTTTCAGTCCCCAACTATCATCCCCAAACAAAATAAATTTCGCTTTAACTATTTGTTACAAAAAGATCAAAAACTAAATAATCATCAAAAACTAAATAAATATACAAATTTTTTAATCAAATCTAAATGAAGTTGCGACTCTGTTCTTGTTTGAGACTTGGTTTCTGACAAGAAGGGAAGGACAAATAACAAAAATTTTTGAGAAAAAATACAAGAAACATTAAATCGGATGCTGCCATAGCAAACCCCTTCAAATCTTGCTAGTTTAGGGGATGAAGAATGAAGATCCCCCAAACAACTTGAGCGTAAAGGGGAAGTCAATGACTCGAGCCCCTTAAAACCTTGATCGTTTAGGGGAAGTTTATCACTCGCAATTTCTCTTTTGTCTTGTATTCTGGGTAGAGTCCAATACGGTTGGTCCGATGATTACGCCCCTGAACAAATTATTTGAGTTTAAATTAGATTTTGCTTTATAAAGGAAATTTTCATAAACTCTTAAAATGTGTGTGGGGGGGGGGTTGCAAACATAAAAACATAGGAATCTATTTTGACCTATTTATTAGGTTTGATAGAAATAAATTGAGTCTTTGCCACAAACTCTTATTTTCTTATTACTATATATTTGCAACCCAATGTCGTGTATCTTAAATATTTCAAACTATATATTAAGTTGGATCAATTTAACTAAGTTTATCAAACAGTGAAAAAATATAGAGATTAGACAATTTAAGTATGTGGCAGACTCCATTCCTTTTTTTTACCGAAAACAGAGATAACAGTCCTGATTTTTTAAAGTTAAAACTCATCTTTGTTTGGTTGTGTTACATTTTAGCAAATATTACTTCTTTATGTCCACAAGTTAAGACGGATTAACTTATCAAAATCTCCACATAAATGATGTGTAACGATTACTACCTTGTTAAGACCGTTCCAATGGTTTCCTGCAACTCCAATAATATCTCCAATCTCTAGATCCAGCTCGTCACTGTTTCGTCTGGCGTGAGGGTAAACAGCCTCCTAGACACAATCAATCAATTAATCAATCAATCAATCAATCATTCAACAATATCTCCAATCTCTAGATACAGCTCATCACTGTTTCGTCTTGCGTGAGGGTAAATATATCCTCCTGGACACAATCAATCAATCAATCAATCAATCATAACTTTTCAAACAATAAATCAATAAATCAATCAATCAATCAGTCATTCACAATATCTCCAATCTCTAGATCCAGCTCATCTCTGTTTCGTCTGGCGTAGGGGTAAATATATCCTCCTGGACACAACCATCAATCAATCAATCAATCAATCTTTCTATCAATATAAATCAATCAACCAATTAATCTTCATATCAATATTAATCTTTCAATCAATCAATCATTCGATCATTCTTTCTTTCGATATCAATCAATAAATCAAAAGTTAAAAAACCTTAAATTGTTAAATTAATTTAAGTCAATGACGATAATTAAGTCCTAAATTTATCAATGAAACAATCTATTGAAACAATTTAAAAATAGTCAATGACAAAAACCAATAAATCAATAAAACAATGAATCAATGAACCAATCAATCAGTAAATAAAACAATAATTATCTACATTAATTAAAGACTTAACTAGTATTAGTTGAACGAATTATCAATTTATAACAACAATTTTAAAATAAATTAGCTGTAAATCAATTAGGATAACATACCAAACGTGTCGAGAACTGAAGTTATTGTACAAATTCAGTACTAAACTAGGGGCTTACGACTTGTGGCTTTGATGTGTGATTGCAATTTCTGTTTTTCTTTAGTTGTTTAATTTTGCGGTTATGAAAAACATGCCTTTTGTTTATTATTTTGAGACTACCGGAAATTTTGCCACATGGTGGACATCCGACAAATGACCTTTTCACCCATTAGATTTTGTCACTAATCTGTAAACGTCCTAATTGTTAAATCTAAAAAATCTCTGTTTCTAACCTGTAAATGTTCTGATTGTCCCCCAAAATAGAAGATATCGTCTAAGGATTTGAATCTATCAGCGGCATCTATATGACGGGTTTGCATTATCTCATAGGCTATCCGACAAACCTAAATAAATTGACAGAATTAAAGGGACTGTATATGTAAGTGATACTCAATTTGAACGATTCAGATACACAACGGTACCCTAAAAGCTTTGAATGAGTAACAATGAGAAAGATATCGCCGGTTTATGTGTTGAAAACAACGACGAATTCTTTCATTTTTCTTTGTTCTTGTTTCTACTGCATAAATAGGTCACCAGTTTCAGAGAAAGCACAATTGCGTCGACCGTCCCTTTAAGATCAGAATGTGTAGAACCTAATTTTAAAGGGAAAATTATAAATTATTGGAAAGTTCATCCCCCCCCTTCTCATTTAAATATATACCCCTGTAAACTTGTAAATACCTGAGAGCTGAAGGTGCAGACTAAAAAGTCTGAAAGGCTGAGAAGATGGATATCCTGGAGATATTAAATTCAACATTGTATTCAATATAGGGGGGGGTAGACCTTTCATGCGAACTTTGTATCTTATGAAAAGAATAAATTCAGATTCTGACCAAGATTAAAAATTAGTTTCCAAATAAGCCAAAAATTGTAAAAAAGAAAATTAAGTAATTTAAAATGGAATGTGACCCTTCCATCCATAGAGTGGCAAGGAAAGGAGGGTAGGCAGATGGTAGAAAAGGAGAAGGAGGGAGATGAGGGGAAAATGGAGAAGGGAAGAAGGGGAACGGGAAGGGGGTAGAAGAAGTTAAACGAATTAGGGAAGGGAGGGGATTAAGTAATTGAGGTTGGGAAAGGGAGAAGGGGTTAAGAGATTGAGTAGGAATGGGGTAGGGGTTTTAACCTTGAGTATTGAAGGGGAAGAAGGGGTTATGAGAATGAGGTGGGTAGAAATGTTGAAATAAAATGTTGAGCTCTAGTTGAGAAGTCTCCTGGGATCTCAGGAGGAATAATTGATAATTCAATTAAGGAAACTAGAAAATTTAAATTTATAGAACTTTTCTAAAATGCAAAATCATTTTTAAAATTCGTTGTTTAAAAACGTAACTTTTACATATCTATCTTTCTGGTAATAATCTTGGCTTTATGATGCTTTGAACTTCCAAAAAGCCAATTGTACATTTAAAATAATTAAAGAAAAAAAAATTTACTTGTATTTATTTGCTGATTTCCAAAATAAAGGCAAGATTATATTTAGACCAAATCTTTAATTTTGACAGGCTGTTGTGTGGGGTTATAAAAAATAAATCGGGCCTGATCGGTTCAGCCGTTTATTGGATACAAAATATATTCTGTTGAATGTTCCTGAATGACTCCACGAAGGGATGAGTCTGAATATCTGGATGAAACTGCTGCAGACTTTGCGACATCTTGGTCCCCCAGGAATTCGTAATTGCTAAATTTTTTCCTACATTCTCCCAACACCTTGGGATCATCAGATGCTACGAAAACTCTTCGTTTATCAACCTAAACATAACAGATTTTTTTCAAAGATTGCAAGATTTGTTGTTAAGTGAGATTTTTCAGCAATTACATCGCAACTGTGTACATTTTTGTATAAAATTTAAGTTTTCGATGAGAGGATGGGGGTGATTTCGAATTTTTGTATAAAATTTAAGGAAGAATAAAATCTTGAGGAGAGGGTTGTCCAATTTTCTTACGAACCAAATCTAAAACTTTTGGGGGCGTAAGTCTTCATTATTGACACCTTAAAACTTGATCTAACAAAATAACAGAATAATTATATTTTTTTTTATTTACGAACTAATTCCAGTTAAAAATATTTCCATAGGAAGGGGAAGGTACAAGTTAAGGATAAAAGGTGAAAGAAAAGGTAAGGTTGGTTTAAGGAGAATGAATTTATAATAAATAAGCGAACTGGATAAATTTAGTTTTAAAGTTTTCAATATGAGTTTTCAACAAAGTTTAGAGTGAATCTAAAAATTCATATCTCTGTAACAAGAGCGAAGTAAAGGGGTTAACATTACAAGCATCTCGACCAAAATTGATTAAAACTTGACATAAAATTTAAAATTAAAAAGCCAAAATGTAATTGTGCCCAAAAATATGGAGAAAATATTATAATACTTTTTCCAAATTTTTTTGCAGAAGTAAAATGTTTCATCAAGACATGGAGAAATTGTCAATGATCAATCAAAAAACGAAAACGATGTTAAATGCTTGTCTTTTTTATCTCAAAATTATGACAAACATCGGTCCTTAATTGTTTGTCATAATTGACAAGGCCATGATCCGATCTCTACCAAACTGGCAGACATCTTAATTCAGGTTGAAAAATAAGAAGTAAGTTTGTCGTTAAAGGTAGAACGATCAAAATCTTTATCAAACTATCAATTTATAAAAAATATATCAATCTAAAAGTTCTCAACCAATCTGTAACAATCTCAAACGTTATCAAACGATCTCAAACGTTCTTTAACAATATCAAACTATCTCAATTTATTCCTAACAATCACAACCGATCTCAGACGAACTCAACGATCTAACACAATCTCTGACCTTCTGTGTTAGTTCCAGCATATCGAACCACTCCTCCACATGAACCATGTACTCCTCCACGGGGTGGAAAGCTGCCTCCGTCCCAACTTTATCTGTTCTTCTCACATGGATCCCCACCACAGGGTTCTTAAACCCTAATTCAGGAAAATATCAATTAGTCACGTAGATGAGGGTTCGTGGCCCATGTATCGCCCCACCCAGCTACACAGGAGAGCGCTCATAAGTCCCCTGAACCGACACTACTCACGACTCACTCCATTATTTTGTATCATACATGCATACATACTTTTCAACTTTTTATGAAAGGACATGAATAAGGGGACTCTCCCAAGATTTCTCATTTAGATAGACTGGGAGCTTAATTTCAAGAATGAATTAGATATTATAATTTTTTCTATTTACTAAAACTTTGTGGATTCTTTGCAAAAGTGAATTGCGTATTTCTTGAATACAAGAAACTATGGGGAAATTGTCAGAACTGAACATTTTTCCTGTCAGATTAAGTATTGAGTTACATGTGCACTGAGCAGTGGATGAATTGCTATAGATGTAAATATTCAGAATAAATAGAAAATAGATCAGGGGGGATGAATTATTAAATGGATTTAATATGGATGAATAAATATTTAGAGTGAATTTACCTTGTGATTCAACTGTTTTCTCCAACATGTCTTCTAAATGTTTCTGAGGCCTAGTAAACACAGATAGCAATATTATTTCATGAGTTTTGAAGCTGCTTTTACAAAGTTTGGAACATTCTTGATTTTCATGGGGGTTAAAACGGGATTTGACCAAACGTAAACCTAAGAATATAACGTACGCTAAGAGCACCGGAGACCAAAAAAATATGAAATTTAGTGCTAGAATAACAATTGCAATATCCAAGAAAATATAAATATCAATATTGCAATCTGCCTGAGCATATATTTCAGAAACTGTCCCAGCCACCAGACAACTGGATCACCGTGTAATCTAGAAATATTAATGTTAATAATATCAATAATAATAATTAAACATTTTTATTACGAGATAAGTATCATTATTTAAGATACTGTGTAGACTGAAGACGTGACTTCTAGTGGTTCTCCATTTAGAGAATGGTATGTCCGAATAACAAGAGTACCCTGTAAACCAGTGCTTAGGATCCCTTTTATTTTAAATACGGATCCGGATCCTGGATCTGCAAGGGAATAAAATGGATCCGAATCCAGGTTAAATTTACTGAATTTTTAAAAAAGTAGAATTTTTAAATACTGTCTTATTTTTTTACCTTTTTTATTCTAAACTTAATGAACCACTTAGAAATCAAATTTTTATAATATCTCTTTTTTCAATAGTTCAGATTTAGATCCTTGGATTCGCATATTTTTTCGGATCCGGATCCAGGAAGCAAAAAACTTGCGGATTTAACGGATCCGGATCCTAAGCACTGCTTTAAACCTTAATCTGAGTAACAATGAGAAAAGTATCGTCGTTTTTTTATTCCGTCGTCTTGGCTGTTATGGATCAGTATGTCATTTTAACAAAGCAATAACAATTGAAAATAAAACATTTTTCCAAGGCAAAACTAGGATATCTTATCCATTCTTGATTTTACAAAGGTTTAACGAGTAACGTTGTATCGTGCATGTTCACTGTGTAATTAAATTACATCTTCAGTTACTTTAATAACATTATCAATAACGATATTAATGACATATAATTTTCATGACAAAAATAATCTCAAATACTGACGATGGTCAACCCAGACCGATATATATTTTCAATAAAATGTGGAACCAACATCTACTTTAAATTACTTCATGAGGTTTGGTCCATCATCATCACCGATTTATAAATAACCTAATTAATTAATAACCTTATGCATTTAAATGTTTTCAGATCATTATAAATATGACTTTCAAATTAATTCCAAATCAAAAATCATACTTGTTTAATCCATGAATTATAGATTTTAAAATCTTACATAATTAAACAAATTGGGGTAGACCTACCTTGATAATCGGTTTACCAGGTCGGCAGGTATAGCTGGGGGTAGGTAGGAGGGTCTAGGGTTAACACTATCCACTATGGGTAGTTCAACTATCTAAACATAAGAACTCAAGGTATAGCAGGGGTAGGTAGGAGGGTCTAGAGTTAACACTATCCACTTTATCTAAGCATAAGAACTTACGGTGTAGTAGGGGTATGTAGGGGGTCTAGGGTTAACACTAGCAGGGGGCAGGTAGTGGGATCTAGAGTTAACACAAACAAGGGATAGGTAGGGGGCACTAGGGTTAACACTTTCCACTATAGGTTTCTCAATTATGTAAACATAAAGAATCTTAAGAACAAAACTCAAATTCCTTTCAATCCCTGAAAAAAACAAGTGAAGATATTTCGGATGAAAAAAAAATAACCAGTAACAAAACCTTGGAAAATACACCCTGGGGGATTTAAATTTTCAAACCTGGGTTGAGTCATTACCAGGCCAACTGGACCGTGAGCTTCCATCCTGAAATAAAATTTAAAATTTGCAAAATGCGAAAAAGTTCATTCCTGACCTTGGTAAGTTCATCGTTTGGAAAAAGTGGGAGATTTGCAATTTAATTCTGGTTATTTTTAAAGAAATTAGTAAAAATAAAAATTCTGAATTCACGGATTAGTGATCGGAACACAGAGAAATGGAGGGAATTCAGAATTATCAAGGTTAAAAAAACAAACATTTTTCTTCTTATTAAAAGTGTAGTATGAGTTGCAAATGCAAATAGGATTTTCACATTATGTGTTGACTGTAGATTATTAGCATTTTAAAACCTTTTTTTCCTGTGTAGAAATATTCAAAAAAAACTTAAATCCCTAGTTTCAAAATAACATAAATCATTTAAGTATGTTTCCGTAAGAAATAAACGGCTTTTATAGTATTATGATAGATTAAATAATAATTGTGACTTTTGGGAATGGAATTTAATTTGGAATCTTTTTATTGCAAAAATCTACGCTTTAAATAAATTAAAATATTTAAGTTACAAAATACCAACTGCGAAATTTTACTGAACCACTTAGCTCAACTATACTTCCTTTATTTGTCACGAGCACTTTCTTAAATAAAAGGTACTTATTCAATTCAAAGTACATAATCATACGTATTGCGTGTTCAATGTACATAAATAGATTATCAAGTACAATAGGTGGTAACAGACTAATGAACCAATTATACACAACGTCACAAGTGTCAAATATAACAAGGAAAACGAAATTGTCTCACATAAGTTGACATGTTTTCCAAGATTAAATAAGAAAGTGTAAAAACAGAAACTAAAGAACACATAAAATTGCACTTATTTTACCGTAAGAAAAGCACTTTATTCTAAAATTATCACTATTATTGATAATTTTGTCGGACACAAAAACTGAATTGACACTTGTGACGACAGAATACAATTGTACTGAGAGTGTACAAATTCTACGTTGCCATCTATTGTATTAGAATCTATTTGAATGTACATAATCTGGTTTCCTACCTGTGAAGTACATGTCTCACTAACAGGCTGGAATACCTCCTGGTAGCCTTTCTTGTTGTACCGCCAACCCTGTACATAAGAGTAATATAATGTACATGAGATAAATACAATCCTGAAATAAAAACTTAATTATAATTATAATATAAGAAAAAACATTATATTGCAGATTTTCTTCATATCATTGGCAGATTTAAAAAAAAATTTATTCTTTTAATAAACTGTTATAGTTTTGAATTATGACCAACCAGAACCTTTCCTACAATTTTTTTTACCATCAGTTCAAAAGTTTAGATGTTTATTAGATACAAACAAACAAGCCAACAAAGAACTAAATAAAACAAAATATTTCTTACTCACCTTGGAATGAAGGATCATGGTTCGTTTTGACCCATAGGCTGTAATAAAACAGTAAACAGCATGATGGATTTGACAACCGTAGCCACAACCCTAACCAACAACATTAATATAACCAAAAAGTAAAAAAAACAAACAATATAAATTCAGAAACCAAATTTAATGGATTTGAGGGGTCACACACTCGCTAACGCTCACCGCTTAGTTCACATCCAATTTAAATCCTTCCTGAATCTTAAACTTTGAATTGGTGATTCAAATTTGACCCGGCGGTAGGTGATTCAACTCAAATTATTTAGATTCGGTCCCAGGTTAAAAAAAAGATTTAACAGATACGATTCAAGATTTAAAAATAAAAAAGACTTTAGCTGTCTCAAAAAGTATGACTTCGGAATGAATTATGAACTTAAAGTTCTCAATATTAGCGGACTACAACATTGATTTACATCCAGATAAAAAGAAATATATTTTGCTAAACCGTGCATAGAAAGAAACTGAGTTTAGCAGTTTGAAAAATCATAAAAATATCAACCAAAGCAGTCTTAAAAATAGCATATTAAAACAAGAAAAAAACTAGAGAAATAGCTTTCATACGGTGGGATCCTTAAAACTGTAGAATGGGAAGACGATTGGTAAGACTCAATTTATGTTCAATTTACATAATTATGCACTGTGCATTGTGCAGTGTACAGTGTACACAGGTCACAGACCCATGCCACTGAAAAAATATTATCAAGATACAACTATTTGCTTTATAAAAACATCAACACGTAAGGTCGTCTCCTAGTCCACTAATCTCACTGTAAATTTAGCGGCGTTCAGTTTATTAAATACCTTGTTTAAGTTACAAAGTAATTTCTTAGCAGTTCCACAATCTTCAGGATTCTGGAGTGTTGTCAATCTGAACAAAAGTTTTAAAGTTGTATACATTGTACATAGATGTTTACAGGGTATCTCCGTTGGTTTGTCCGATCATAACTCAGAAACCCCTTGACCGATTTGCTTAAATTTTTTTGTTAAAACTCGGAAGAACCACAGGAATGTTCTAAGCATGGATTTGAGATTTTAATTTGAGTGGGTCGACTTTTCAAGCGAAAATTTAGCTTCCTGGTCAAATCCACCAAGTGCGGGTAAATGGCGGGATTACCCTAGGCTTAAATAACCCTTAAATTTATTGATTCACACAATTTCGGCGAATACAGGCAGGCAAAATCTTGATTTTTAATGGAGTTCAATGACCTTTGACCCCAAATTTTCTTTAAGATCTGTGTAGAGGGCCACAATGGGAGGCTGCTTGCAAAAGGGGATGGTGGAGATGTCATATTTGATGTAGAGGGGGGTAACTAAAAATGTTGAAAATTTGATATACTACTCACGTTCACTGATTTTGAATTGTCTGGACAAAATATTGAAACTGAGGCAATGTTTCTGCAAAATATTGAAACTGAGGCAATGTTTCTGCAAAATTTAAAGAATTGATTTGTTTATTCATACTGGAACATATTTGTTACATTGCATGTTTCACGTATGTACATCGACAAAGCGAAAGAAACACGAACCAACTCACTCTGAAAATCTTACCTCAAGACAAATATTTTTTTAATTAGAAGGTTTATTTTGGTTGGTCTGAGGGAACAGCTTTAATAAAGAATTGTTCAGACATAGATATACATTATACACTATACACTTTACAGTATACAGAATGATAACCCCCTCTTTTTGGAGAAAGGGGGGTGGACCCAGGGGTGACCCCACCCCTGGGTTCGGGTCTGTCACCCAGGGAACCTATGCACCTTTTGATTTCATGACTTTCACTTCTTCGTGTGCTACCCTACCCTTTAACCCTTTATTTGATCAGCGACGTAGAAGATATCGGCATTTTCTATCTGGAAAAGTGTTTCATTCTGACAATTAACTTAATTGATTCTGTAAGCAGAAATCCGCAAGTAAATTTTAAATACCACTCTACAAACGGAGGGTCACTTGAAATTATATTTACATTCCGTATAACATCCATTGTCTAACTTGTACAATATGAAAATAGTTTGACACCTATTGTTAAACTATAATTACCTTTTCTGTACAAGGTCTGATAGATAAAGTGATTCCTTTGCTCTCCACTCCTCAAAACCATCGTGCTCGCGTAGTTTGTTCAGGTCAACCAGGACAACATGCGCGTGCTTTGTAATCTCATTCTATAGATTCATACAATTTAAAAACGATCATTAAAAAAAACTATTATAAACAATGCATATAAATGCGGAGAAAAATATAGAGATTAAAACAAAAGATATCAAGACTCTTGATTCAAGAGATCAATAAATCAAGGGACAAAAAGATCAAGAGATCAGGAGATCAAAATATCTATGGATCTATAGATCCCAAGAAATCATGGTATTAAGAGATCAAGTTTAGGAGATCAAAATCTCAACAACAACAAAAAATCGAAGAAAAAAAGATTATCTTAATAATAATTTAAAATATTTAGTTCAATTGTATTGTTTGCAAAATAAACTGTTTCGTAGAAAAAATATTTGTCTTAATAAAAGAGAATATTTTTAAATATATAATTTTCTTACCTTAATATATTTAACAGTTTCCTCCAGATGTCCTTTATCCTTGACTAATCCGTCCAATTGAGCACGCGCAAAATTGAGGAGCTCCTTTACATCTCGAGACGCGCGTCGTCTAATAAAATAATTATTACATTTCATGACAGATTTACACCTCTTTAGCCTTTTTTTGATCAATGATGTTTGTGTGTATTATAAAAGCTTGAAAAAGAATGGACGATGCTATCCCTTCCCGGCGACCCTCCCCACCTAATTAAAAACAGGAATGTCAAACACATGGTCACGTGAAAGTAATTCTCTCTGTGAAAAGAGTTGACGCGATCTCTCATTGGTCCGATCAATGATCAATGATAAATAGGCAAGGCGTATGGTATATGGGCAGGTTGGGTCGATTCCTTCTCCATTATATTCCATACTCCTTAGAAATAGATTAATCTCAATACAGGAAAAGAATAATCAACTGAAATCGCCAGTTAAATATCAACTCCTTAAACTTAATTCTCTCAAAGAAACATTTTCATCTTATTTTGATGTTATTTAAAATAGAATGTAAATTTATATTAAGTTAGCACTTCATGTCTCTTCTATTTCTAGTCTAACTATCAAACCCATGGATGGATTTCATGAAATCTTCACATATCCATTGATCCAACCTCCGTTGATTTATTAAGCTCCTCCCAATTATAACCTCCATGGAAACTCCTCTACTCTCTAACCTTGATGGATTTATAAAACTGTCAAATATTCCATCGATGCAAACTTCTCCCCAATTCAACCCCAATAGATTTAATAAACTCCTCCCAATTATAACCTCGATGGAAACTCTTCCCTTATTCAACCTCAATAGATTTAATAATATCCTCCCAATTATGACCTCGATGGAAACTCTTCCCTTATTTAACCTCAACCGATTTATTAAACTTCTCCTAAATTATAACCTCAATGAAAACTCTGAACCGCAATTTAACCTCGATGGCTGAAGTGCAATATCTCTGGAAACTTTCAACATTTATAAAATATTTAATTCAAGTATATTTCATTCGCTAGAACACCATCAAAATTTAAAATAGTTCTTTTATCATGATAAACTTGTGAAAAGTACAAACAATCCCAGTTTTCCTTAATACACAACTTAAAGCAATTTCAAGAGAACCTCCTTTTTGAAGTGGTAAGCCTGATTTACACTGGTACCCTTTAGATCTTCCTTTGAGAAAAAAATACGAATGAATTCTTGTTTGTAAATCTTATGAGGGGCTAAATTCCAAGGGCATATTACAGGGGGGAGCCCCCCCCCCAGGGACTCCTAATGGGGGGGGGGGCAAAAAAATAGCCCCCCCAAGATTTATTTCTCTATTCGCCCTTACTAGATTCTGTCAATTTTCAGTTTGTCTCATTGCCCCTACTGCATAAAATATCCCTGCTAAATATCCCTGCCAAAATATCCCAGCTAAATATCTCTGCTAAAATATCCCTGCTAAATATCCCAGCTAAATATCCCAGCTAAATATCCCTGCTAAATATCCCTGCTAAAATATCCCTGCTAAATATCCCTTCTAAAATATCCCTGCTAAATATCCCTGCTAAATATCCCT